GGTAATCTTGATAAGTATAAGTTGACTCTGGTTGGCATGGTGAAATAAATTTCTTTGCAAAACACACGTGCATGCCCAACTCTGTAGAATGTCGTGGTACAAATGGAAAGTTTCATATTTGGATGAATAGTCAGACACGAATAGTGTGAGTAGATTTTTAAATTTCTTTTCACAGTCACACTTAGCGGCTACTCACACATTGCGTGTTTGAATATAGCAGTTGAGTTTTGGGAGGAGACAAACTCAATTCAAATAGGAAACTTACCATTTCCCTTTTTACCACGTACTTCCTCCTCTATATAAAGGCCAAGCAGCATGCCAGCCAGAGCCAACTTATACTTCCCAAGATTATTACCAACAGAAAAAAATCCTCAAGTTATGGCAATGCAATTACATTCTTTTCTCTTAGGCATACTGCTACTAATTGGCTTTGCTTTCACAAATAGCGAAGCTGATATTAGAGCTCCACCCACAAATTTTGACACTGCTTCTCTCAATAGGAGCAGTTTTCCAGAAGGGTTCATATTTGGTGTAGGTTCTGGATCTTACCAAGTAAGTCCTTTTCTGGGCTTTAATTTAAGTTTTGATTAGGGTTTTCAGACCAAGCATATCGATCCATGCAAGAATATTGACATCTTCTTCATTGTGTCTCTTTGTGTATTTCAGTATGAAGGTGCTGCAAAAGAAGGTGGTAGAGGACCAAGCATTTGGGATACCTTCACCCACAAATATCCAGGTTTGTCCAATCAAATCATCAATTAGTTAAAATAACAAAATCGTGCTACTTTTACTCTTATGCTCTAAATAAATAAATTTTCTATGATTAATTGCAGAAAAGATTAGCGATAGAAGCAATGGAGATATCGCTGTTGATCAATATCACCGCTATAAGGTTCGTGACCCAATGTGCACATTAAATTTTGAAGCATGAAGAAAACTCATCACATTGAAGATAAGCTCCCGATAATTTTTATCTGATTTCTTTTGGGAGTTTCACTAGAACACTCAAAATGGGAGTTGAAATTATAAAAAAACCCAACACCCAAAACCCATCATTACACACACTCAAAACCTATTTATAAACACACCCAAAAAATATACAATTGTTGACTTTGGGGTTGATTTTGAGTGTGTTTTTATGTTTAAATAGTGTTCGAGTTTTTTTATAAATACATGTCTAGGATTAGGTTTATTTATAAATTTGTAATTTCATTTTTGTTATGCACTGTAGGAAGATGTGGGGATTATGAAGAATATGGGGTGGGATGCTTATCGATTCTCTATCTCATGGTCAAGATTGTTACCAAGTAAGTTCATTTGTGACCAATCATCAATATTTCTGCCTTCATGGTTTTCGCTTAAGTAATGTGTCCAAGTTGTCTACAGAATAATATAACAATTTTTTTTTTTTGGTTTCAATTAAAATACTTAATTGCAATAACTTAAGCAAAAATATTTTTTTTTTTCAAACATAAATTAAATAGAAGTCGAAGTTCAAGTTCGATAGCATATAGTCCAACTTTTTTAAAGTTCAGGTTAAATGTTATCGGTGCACTTATTGCTTTATTTTCTGGTTTTGATTTAATTATTAGATGGAAAGTTAAGTGGAGGAGTGAACAAGGAAGGAATCAAATATTACAACAATCTTATCAATGAGCTCTTACGCAATGGTGAGTCATCCCACCTTACATGATCAATAATTTATACAATAAGAGTTACATGCACTCATTAAAATAAGTCATTTTTTCACACTTATAACTCGCTTTTATTGATGATTTATAGGTTTAACGCCATTTGTGACACTCTTCCATTGGGATCTTCCCCAAACTTTAGAAGATGAATATGGTGGTTTCTTAAGCCCTCATATTGTGTAAGTGAAGAAATTAGTCCTTTGAATCGTATTGATAATTTAATTAATAAATACAATTATGACATTTACATTTTGCAATATGTATATACAGCAATCATTTTCAAGATTATGCAGAACTTTGTTATAAGGAATTTGGTGATCGAGTAAAGTATTGGAGCACCCTGAATGAGCCATATATCTTCAGTTATAATGGTTATGCAATTGGGGTCAATGCGCCAGGACGATGCTCCACTTGGCAGCAGCTAAATTGCACCGGCGGAGATTCATCTACTGAACCATATTTGGTAACACACCACCAGCTCCTTGCTCATGCAGCTGCCGTAAAATTGTACAAAAATAAATACCAGGTACAGTTAATTAGTTTGTTGCGACAGGAGAGCGACTACTTTACCTTTTTGTTACTCTAAAATAAACAAACTAAATGTTCTTGTGCAGGCATCTCAAAATGGTTTGATAGGGATAGCACTAAATTCACATTGGTTTGAGCCCCTATCGGAAGAAAAAGAAAATAAAAATGCTGCATTACGAGCTTTGGATTTTATGTTCGGATGGCAAGTGTATTTCGAATTTACTTATAAATATAATATTTACTATTTACGAGGGAGTAATACATAATATAAATGCTTGAAATTTTTACATTCTTGTAGGTTTGCTGAGCCATTGATAAGTGGTGACTATCCGCAAAGCATGCGAGATCATGTAGGAAGCCGATTACCAAAATTCACGAAAGAACAATCAAAGTTGCTAATTGGTTCATTTGATTTTCTTGGACTAAATTACTATACGAGTTACTATGCAAGCAATGCACCTCAAAATAACTCGGTATATGCGAGCTACACAACAGATGCTGGCGTTAATCTTTCATGTGAGTACAAATTCATAATTTTATTCAAGCAAATTAAGTTTATAGACTAATTAGATTTTGATATTCATATGTGTTATGGCAGCTGAGCGTAATGGGGTCCCCATCGGTCCAAAGGTACACATCAAATTACTAGATTAAGCCTTTATGATTTCGACCATTAATCATTTTGCACTTACAAATGTGACTCCAAAAAATCTAAAGATCTTCAAATTTTGTTGCAGGGTGCTTCGTCGTGGTTAAATGTTTATCCACGAGGAATTCAACATCTTTTACTCTACACAAAGAAAAAGTATCACAATCCAATTATTTACATTCTTGAAAATGGTAATTTTTTCTAGCCTTAAGTAATTGCATGATCAATGTTTCACATATTTTTGGTGTAAAACACGCGTACAAAGTCTAAATTTGTAACTACATAATAATGTATTATATATTGTAGGTGTGGATGAGTTGAATGATCCGAAATTATCACTTGTTGAAGCCCTTAATGATACCCATAGAATTGACTACTACAAAAGCCACCTTCATTATGTTCAAAGTTCTATTGAGTAAGTGTACTAACAAATTCATTTATAATATTTAAATATATATATATATATATATGGTATAGCTTTAGATTTTGAGTTATTGATTCATATTATTGACATTAACATATTTAATTTCCTTTTATTGCTTTTTAGTAATGGTGTCAAAGTGAAGGGATTCTTTCCGTGGACGTTGCTAGACGACTTTGAATGGTTTTCGGGATTCAGTGTTCGATTTGGTATCATCTATGTAGATTGCAACGATAGGCTTAAAAGACACCCAAAACTCTCGTCGCACTGGTTCAAAAGTTTCCTTAAGAAGTATTGAACACTTCAGATCATATTCGTCATTCAATATCTGTATTTAATTCAATAATGTGAATTTTATGTATGTAAAATAATACTAGGGATTCCAAATTTGTGTACATTCAATAATTTCAATTTTAGTTCTTATATGAGAATAAAATTCCATTCAACCCCCTTGTAAAATTAAACATTGATTTTTAGTCCTTTGATGAGTGTCAACATACGCATAATTATGAAACGTTGTAGTCCTTTGATTGATGGTCTCAAATTTGAGTTATTTATACTAACACCTCTTGAGGTTTTTCGTGCTTTCGCAAAACCCTGTAAGGTCTTGGAAATTATACAAACACCCCCTCATGTTTCAAAGTGGTTTCACATAACGCCAAAAATCCAAAAAAAAAAAACCTAAAATTGGATGTAAGAGGACTCTTGTAGAGACTAAAATACCCTTCATGATATTAGAATAGTTTGGATATAGTCGCACCATAATCCCTGAACCCTAACAAAATAAAATAATAATAAATAAATCATAAGACGCATCGTACTATTCCGTGAGAAAAAATGAAGACGCTTCCTCTCTTCCATCTCTGCATCATCATCGAAATCCTTTGTTGCTTTGAAAAGAGAATTCTTAGATCCTGCTGTCTCATTGCACCTTGATCCTTCTGCTTTGTAGCGTTAGGATTTAAGTTAGGAGGAGTTAATCCAACAAGCCAAGAAATAGGAAGTCAAGACGTTGAGCAAAACCCATGTAGGAAACGAAGAAGCTGGTACTCAGCCATTGAGAAGAAGTTTCTCTAGTTTGATTTTTGGGTTTGAGAAAGGATTGACTTTTGTGTGTGTGTGTGTGTGTGTGTGTGTGTGTGTCGTCCTGATTGGAAACATATTGGAGAAGACATGGAAGAGATGGAGAGGATGAAGGAATTTTTTCATTGGGGCCAAGCGTACAATGCGTGTCTGATGGGTTGGTTTTTTTCTTTTTACTAGTATAAATTTGACCAAGATAAGGATTATTTTAGTCTATGCAGAAGTATTGATATATCAGATTTTAGGTTTTTTTGGATTTTTGGAGTTATGTGAAACCAATTTGCGACATAAGGGGGTGTTTATGTAATTTTTAGGACCTCGAGGAATTTTGTGAAAACACAAAAATCCTCAACAGGTGTTAGGTTAAATAAATCCCCAAATTTTCACCTATTCGTTTAGCTGCCTCAGTTCGACATTCATGGAACCACTTTTTAAGAATATTCATTCTTAAATACTCCATAAAATTGGTAATAGGTAATTTACGAGCATCTCTGGTGATTGAGTTGAGACATTCGATAATATTTATTGTCATTTGGTTGTACCACTTCCCATTTAAGTGTGCATGAGTCCACTTTTCATATCCAGCCGCATTAAGATGATCACCCACTTTAGAATCAATATTAAATATTTACACCATAAGATGATCAAATTCAAGAACAAGATATGCTTTAGCAGTTCTAAAATATAACGGATGCACTTTCTCATGCTTTAAATGGTTCTTAAGATTCTGACTTATATGGAATATGCATTCCCCATGATGAGCATCCGGAAATATAGTGGAGATAGCCTTATGAATGCTTTCATGTCTATCAGAAATGAAAACTACATTAATATCCCCAATAACTCCTCGTAATTTTGTCAAAAACCAATTCCAAGATGCATCATTTTCTGAATCTCCTACTTCGAATGCAACAAGGTATGTTAGGTTATTTCCGTCCTTGCATGTGGCAACAAACAATGTCCCACGATATTTATCTTTTAAAAATGTCCCGTCAAGTGAAATTACTAGCCTGATAACAGTGCGAAATCCTCTTATGCAAGGTCCAAGTGACATGAAAAAATACATAAAATGATTATTATTACAAGTTTCAATATGAGTTATCATACCAAGATTTTTGGCTTCTAACAACGTAGCACAATTTGATGGAAGTATCGCATAAGATTCCTCTGGCGATCCCCTAACCAACTCCAATGCATGTTCCCTAGCTCTCCAAGCCTTCACATAACTTGTACTCACACCCATGTCCTTTCGCATATCCTCCATGATGTCGTGGGGTCTATGTACTCGTGAGACACCCTCTTACTTATATTTTATGCATTGGCCAATAAGAGAACTACTTGCTTGTCGATGAATGCAATGAATAGCATTCAATGAGCATGAGTGTTTTGTAAAATATTTTTTTACCATGAACACTACTACAAAAAATAAAAACACGACGGGAATTCACCGTCGTGTATTCTGTTTTCAAATGGTCGTGGAATCCACCGACATCTTTTCCATAACAAAACCACGACGGTGAATAACCTTCGTTGTTAAAATAAAAAACGTCATCAAAAAATAAAAACCGACGTCTTTGTATTGCAAAAAGACATATAAAAAAACAGTCGAGGATGACGACCAACTCCAACAAAAAAACGTCGTTAAAAAGGAAAAATATGACATATATTAACAGAACATGGCCGCAAGATAAACATACAACGACGAGAACTAAAACTTAACGCCGTTAAATAAATATTTAACGACAAATATAAATATGACGTCTTTACAATCATAATAGACGACGTTATTGACACCTACTACGTCACAACATTTCCAACAACCGTTGTAAAATAAATTTTCCACTTCGATTTTTCTATGAATTATGAC